AAACCCACCAAAGCCCGGCGGCCGCTCCTCGGAAAACCGATAGCGGAGGATACGAACTCTAGCGGCAAAGCCCTAGAGAGGGAATATTAAATATACATAGCAGAAGCTATCATGTGAAAGCACCAATTTCAACTTTTTTAAAGCTAAAAGCTGAAAAGTTTTTTTTTTTAATTTTTCCAAACAGTACTTTCACCATGGGATTAATTATCAAAATAGGACTAAAAGTCAGTCACTTTGCACAAAAAGAACCAAAAAATAAACTATGTTTTCATAGAACTAATTATACGTGTCTTGGACAAATATACCTTTGTAGATATTGAAATGTTTTAATTCATAATAAAATAGTAAAAATAATAAAAAAATCTTAAAAAATGCTAACAATTTTTTAAAAAAATTAAAAATAACAAAAAAAAATAGCGCCCCTCTGCCGCCCCAACACCACCACCTTCAGTCACCAGGGGAAGAATGCCACATTCATCACGAATGCCATATTTATGGCAGAAACAATGAAAACGTTGGCATTCTCAAAAAACAATATGCCATTTTTTTGGCATTTTAAAAAAGAAAATGGCAGTTTTTAGAAAAAATGACAATTTTTACACCGGTCGGAGGTGGTGGTGCAGGGAGGCAGTGCCACCACCTCCGGTCATTGAGGGAAAAAATGCCACTTGCAGAAACAATGAAAATGTTGCCATTCTCAAAGAGTAATATGTAAATTTTTTTGGCATTTTCAGAAAAAACGACAGTTTTTAGAGAAAAAATGTCATTTCTACATCGTTCGGATGTGGTGGTGCAGGTAGGCAGTACAGGTGGTGGGAAAGGCATCCATATTATGACTGTTGATTATCTTTTATTCATATTTATTTTAAAGATGCATCTGCATTATGACTGTTGGTTATCTTTTATTCATATTTAAAAGAGGGGTAAGAATGAAATGAAAAAATATGCATGTTTCCGATAGGAGTAATATGGTTCTATTTTGGAATAAAAAATATAGTAAGTCTTATTTTGAATTTTTGACATGGTATTATTGAATTTTCTATATTTTTAGGAATTTTCTTTTTGTTTTTTAGGCTTGGGCCTACTCCACTTCTTTCTAGTACCTTCCTGAGGCAACTCGAAGCCTCGACCCCTAGTTCATACACCATCAATTCACAAACACGGTTCTTCTATGTATACTGATTACCTATCGATCGAGAGGTGAAAAGATCACACAAATGGCTGAATCACACCCAGTGGAAGAGTTCGCTTTGGACTTGGATGAACTGAAACAGCTACAAAGGATCGCGAAGAGGCCGCGCGTTCTCTCTCTCATTTCCTCTGAAATTCGCAACTTGGAAAAGGTTATTTTCTACTTCCTGCAGGGGCTCTGATATTTTTTTGGCAGTTTGTTTACGTACTCCATTGGTGGGTGGGTTTCGACAGAAAGATCTTCGATTATTACTTATGAGTTTCTTATATCTGTTTTCCGTCATTTTTGTGTTCTTAGTTTACCTCTGTACTAGATTATCTCATTTAGTTTTTTTTTGTGTGTTGCTAATTGTATTTATACTCCGTATTTAATCTTGAAGTATAAACAATATTGTGCTGGAAATTGGATCATAGTGCCTCGTATTGGAGGTATCAATGACACTTGTGTTGTATAAAGCTGTGGATGGAAATGACAATACAAAGAATTGAATCATTAAACGGATATCATTTTTTATTTAAGCGTACATTGGATACACATGAAACTTAGGTTATGAATTAGCCTTGTTTTTATTTTCAAAATAAAAGGGCCAGAGTACTTTTTAAATAGAAGTCCATTAATTAAACATGTGGTCACACTAAACCTTAACAAGTCTTATTTCATTTAAAATTTTAAACCCTAGCAAGTCTTTCAGTTTGTGTATTTGAATTCTAATGACTTCTGAGTTACTGGTATTAGCTCATATGTGTTTGTGTTTCACACTTTTTGGACTTCACACTTACTGGTATCTTAGCTCATATGGATATATCCTTAACTTCTTTAGTTGTTTGCTACTAATTTAACTATTTTATGTTTTATATGTCTATCCCCTGTATATGCATTCCTTCTACTTCTCTATGTTTTGCTTTCTATTTTATTTCCCTAGGTTTTGCTGGTAACAAACAGGCCTAATTGTTGTTGGAACTGAATGTGTATATTGCTGATACAGCTGTCAAATGTTGTGAGCTTGCACTCTCAAGTACCAGTCCCGATTTCAACTGCGCCAAAAGTTGTCCCTAACCCAGCACTTAGTTATGCAACAGTTTCAACCTTTAGCTGGGATCAGGATAGTGACAAAGTGAAGGTAGGATTGAATAATGACCTTTTCATAATGATTCTCTATATATAGGAGGTTACGTGTTGACTTTGATGTTTAATATTAGCAGGGATTTCCCATTGTCAAGCAATTATCATTTGACTAGCAATCACATTCATTTTGTCATACATAGTTTTTTCTTTTTCATTTTTTCTCTTCTATATGGGTCTGTTTGGACCAAAGTAAGTACTAGGGAGTCACAATAGGGAGGAAAGTAGAGATGAAATTCGGAAGCAAAGAAAATATTCTGGGTAAAATAAGACACAGTTTCAAAATCAATAAAAAATTTGTATTCATTCTTTATATAGAGAGTAAAGACTGAATTTTAAATATGTTTAAAACTTCTAAAATATTTAATCAGATTTCAATTTCCTTTTCTCTAGATACTAAGACCGAGTGTTTAGCCATTCTTTTCCAACTCAAGACAAACATAAGAAAACCACTTTCATTGTCAAAATTTTCCCTTTCCCTAACATAATCCCAAGCCTGACATGCTCTAGTAGTTGGAACTGGTTCTGTACGCCCGTATCAGTGCAAAGGTTTATTTATTGTATACTAATTGTGTGATCATTGAATTGTGATTTCTAGATTTATCTCTCTCTGGAAGGTGTTGATAATGAGAAGATAGATGCTGGCTTCAAACCAATGTCTGTTGATGTCAAGTTTAATGGTGTGCAAGGAAAGAACTACCGCTTCTCTATAGGAAAGTTGAACAAGGAAATTATTCCTGACAAGTGTAAGGTAATAGTGAAGCCCAATAGGGTGGTTCTCTCCTTGCTAAAAGCTTCTAAAGGGAACTGGCTGGATTTGCACTACAAAGATGACAAGGTAATGGCCTAAAACTGTACACTTAAGCACCAAAATGAGTTTAATTTCATTTATGTTTTAAAGTTTTCAACCATGTTCTACCTTCAACATGCAGTTTAAGCCAAGTGTGGACAAAGAGAAGGATCCCATGGCCGGAATAATGGATTTGATGAAGGTAAATCATTCCTTGTTAAGGATAATAGTTAGGTTCTTCTATTTGGGATTGATCTATGCCGCTTAGTGCTTATATTACATTACATATATATACTTGGTTTCTTAACATTCAGAATATGTACGAGGATGGTGATGATGATATGAAACGCACCATTGCAAAGGCTTGGTCAGATTCTAGATCTGGAAAAGTTGCTGATCCGCTCAAAGGTGGTTACCCATGAAGAAAGTAGTGGTTAGATATAGCTTAATTTGAACTGTGAGAGTTTTTTTGGGTGTCCTCAGGTTTTGTGGCATTTCAGATGCTATTAAGCAAAGTCATGTACTTTTTATGTTATCATGTTACTTATCTGTGCTGACAATACTTTCAGGAGAATGGTTTGTGTTGTGCGTATTTCCATGATAAAACTTTTTGTGCAGTTATTTTTTCTTGATTCACAAAATATTACTAGTATTTCTTTTAAGTTTGGTACAGCGAATTCTATTTTGTAAGGAACTATGTAGTATTTGAATTCCTTAAGGGTATGTTTGGTTCAAGGAATGTCAGATAACCATGAGAATGTTATATTACTGGGTATGTTAGATAGATGGGAATGTGATTAATGTATAGCCTATTTGTGTTTGGTTACGATTAAGGAATGTCACATTAAGTTGTTTGGTTGAATGATATCTTTTATTGCATATTTGGTGAATTACTTTAATGTCCTTTATATATTTGTCTCTTAACACATTAAACTTATCAATTATTAGAAAATGTATTTCATGTTTTATTTTTTATTTTTCTCAATTTTCAATTGTAGTTCATGTTTCAAATAAATATACTTTAAGTTTTTATATGTAGCACTTCTTGAATTAATTTTTACATGAATTAGAAAAATGTACCCGGCCCGACCCGTTACCCGGGCGGGTAGACCGCCCCGAACCGGTACTGGTCAACAGCCGTTCTGGTCCCGGGCTTCATTCCCAAAAAGCCAAGCCCATCCGGGCCCGACCCGGAATCGGACTGGGCTCGGTCCACATCTAGATATTTCGATTAATGAAGCATAGGTTTTTTTTTGGAAGAAAATTAATAAGCCATCAGGAATCTAACATAACCTAAGGCATTGGTGGGTTTGACATGCCTGGTAATGTGATCACCTTTTCCACTTTTGGGAATGTAACATTCCCAAAAGAAAAAATCAAACCCGCGAACCAAACACAGGTATCTCACATTCCGGGCATGAGATTCCGCCATGCATAAGATATCACCTTGAACCAAACACTCCCTAAGAGAGCCCTTACATGGGTGATGGGTCTGTTTTTTCCATGCTAAAAAGCCTCCCCCTTTCGTCTTGGATGCCCATGCTAAGTAACTACTGGAATTTGAATGCCAACTATTTTCAATCCCTCGTTCCAAGTTTCAAACTAATAGAATTTGGAATCTTTCTCTTTTTCTCTTGAATGTTGAATTTGATCTTGATCTTAATTCTTTTTTCATTTATAAATGTCGGGTTCGTGACACAATCCTAGGGTTAAACGGAAGAATTATATAGTTATAAAATAGGAATTCAATAGAAGAATAAAATTTGAACTAACTTTCAATAGTAATTAGAGATTATTAGAAAGGGAGAGAGAGAGTATTGAGATAAGCTAACAGAAAGATTTTTTATTTTAATCAACAGAAAGATATTATTTGAAACTGTATTGGGTTACAAGATATTTATAATTTTATAGTCAGTTGAGTCAAACTGACTTAACAACTAACCGAGATACTAACAAACTATATATAGTACACTTTTTTTTGCTCTAGGGGCATCTTGGGGAGGGGGACTGGGGGTCTGGAGTTATCAGGGTTGAAACTCACTTCAGTTTCGAACCCGAGACTTCTCGTAATGGAGAGTGAGTCGGCGACTAGTTGGACTGGACCGCTTCCTCCTATATATATACAGTAGACTATTACATCATAAAGTTTCTAGTCTAACACAAAGGTATATAGCTAATAGAGATGAATATCTCACTGATAATCATGAGAGTAAAAAGATAGTCATTCTGGATAGTTTTCCCATGCATCATTGTAACTATATGCATGTTTAGAATTTACATGTAAGCTAACGTGTATATGAGTAAATAGACTAGTGCTGTCAATACTAACTAATATCCTAACTAATTCATGACTACTTGTATAATGTTACATGTTTGCTGAAATGGCTCTAGCTCCCTTTTTAGCTCATGAGTCATGACATCTCTTCTCCTTTTAAGTTTGTTCAAGCTCGGGTTACAATACCAGGAAAGTTAGAAAACCCTTCAACAAAGTCTTTATATAATACACGTGCTGTCCTCACTATTGGACCATTCTTTTTGCTATCTTTCTATATTGAATAGCCACGTGTTCTTTTCTGAGCTGCCTATTTTCATTGTAATATGAGGCTCTTAATCATGACACGCACAAACTTCAATTACAAATTTTTTCCCAGATTACTGATTTATGAATGGATATGTAATTGGCGAACTACGATTCAGACCTATTGATCATACATAACGAAGGGCCTATTGATCACATAAAACGAGGCTAGGTCTACATTCTGATTATGATCTATCTTGCGCAATTCAAAAAATTTGGCACATTTGTCTATCCAATTGCTAGGATTGATGCATAGAATGTTGGGAACTCAATTTTAGGAGAAAATCCAAGAAAGCAAACATGTTTACCTCCTAGAGTACGAGGGATGGAGCTGTCATGATTGGAAGGAGAATGAGCATAGTGTTTTGACTGGACTTCTTTTTCCTCACTTCTCTTTTGTAGTAAGCGCAGGAGTGCCCCCAACTCCTGATTAGTTTAAGAGAACTTGCGTTCACTTCTCAGGTCCTGCTCGGCTGCTCTTCGAGCTGTCTTTCCAAACATGCTACCTTGTCCTCCATTAAAGAGAGAGCTGCAATAGTTATTTTCTGATCACGACCGACGACAAACGCAGCCTTGGTAAGCTCTAAGGCTGCTTGCAACCCAGGGTTGAATAGCCCAAATTCATTCTATTCACTCCAAAAAAGCACAACAAACCAAGTATTGTTGGGTGGCAAAGTGGATGCATAGCACCCCTTGGAGGGGATTTGGGTGGGTACATTGACCCTCCCTTTCCACGGGCCGTTGTACAACAGGAGGAAAGGAGCATCTGTCATACGTGCAGGGCCCAACAGTCAGCAACATTTTGCTCGGTCCAAATGAAGCGGTGCTTTGGACTTGCTAGAGTGCGCCTGGGATTCATTGCTTGAGACGTTGCCAGCTAATGGGCTGGCTTAATTTAAAAAAAAAACATTTTTAAATACCTACGGAAAAATATTTTTTTACATCAAAATGTTTAAAATTTTAAATCATAATTATTGGTACAAAAACTTGTCATACAATTGATGTGTGATAATGAAAATAAGGATTTATAAATTTATTTAAAAAAAGAAACTGTGCTGAGTGAATATATTGACGATGCTGGGTTGCAGATAAAAACTAATTGACCGGATGAATACGTATAAAATGGTGGTAAATTTGATTTATTGACGGAGGCGGGTTGCGGGTAGCCTAATGGCAGAAATGAATTTTTTTAAAATCAAAGCTCAGTTTTTTATACCAAAGTCAACTTTTGATTATTGAAGCTCTGATACCAATTGACCTAATGTTAGGTTATCGGCCAGTTCACAGTGAATTCAAGAACAAGATGGAGAAAAGAGTTGTGTATCAATGGAAATTTGTCGTATAACAGAAAGTAGAGAGAGAATTACAAGAGACAATTATAGAGAGCCACTCTCCAAGTCCCAGTCCCAACTAACTTTTACCAGCATATCTTATTTCTATAATAGCTATCTATTTATAGAACTCCCTCTGGTTCCCCAACTACCCTTCCAGCTACTTCTTATTTCTTCTTACATAAACTTTATCAAAATAGTTATTATTATTACTTTGCTGGCTGCCAGTGGCTCTAACATCACTCCCATGGAACTACCACCTCATCCTCAAGGTGGAAGTCAGGAAATTGCCTCTGAAATTGTTGCAGCTCCTCCCAAGAATCCTCAAACTCAAGCATATTCTTCTAGTGCACCAACACCTCAATTAATTATTTCACTTTAGTTAATTTTGTTGTCCTTTATTTCTTCTGGCCAGATCCGTAGTTCCCATTCTTCTGATAAGCACTCAGGTAAAGGCTATGTCTGTGCAGCAGTAGACACATTTTTCTTTAGCAGTGATATGTGGAACACCGGATGCACTCTACAATCTTCAGGTAACTTCATTTTATAAGCCACATGATTGATCTTCTCAATGACTTCAAAAGGCCCATAAAATCTAGCGCTCAATTTCTGATTACTTCTTCTGGCTAGATTATTTAACTTGTACGATTGAATCTTCAAATATACTCTGTCCCCTATAGTCAATTGAACCTCCTTTCTCTTCTTATTAGCTTGTTGCTTCATTCGGTTTTGTGCAATAGCCAAATTGCTTTTCAGTTCATCAATCATTTCATTCCTTGCAGCTGTCAATCTATCCACCTCCTCCACAGCTGTTAAGGCCACATCTCCTCTGATTAAAACAGGTGGATCTTGTCCATAGAGTGCTTTGTATGGGCTGTTCTTAGTAGATACATGGTAGTTGGTGTTGTACCAAAACTTAGCCCAAGGTAGCCACTTCGGCCACTGCTTTGGTTTCATCCTAGTCATACATCTGTGGTAGGTTTCAACGCATTTGTTAACTACCTCAGTTTTCTTATCTGTCTGGGGATGGTATGCAGTACTATACTTGAGTTTTGTTCCGGCTAACATGAACAATTCAATCCGAAATGAGCTTAGGAAAACACCATCTCTATATGAAACTATGGTTTTTGGAAAACCATGCAATCTGACCACCACTTATAAGAATATCTCTGCCACACCTTTAGCATTATAAGGGTGTGATAATGCTATTAAATGAACATATTTTGTCAACCTGTCCACCACCACTAGGATAATGTCTTTCCCCATCGCTTTTGGCAATCCTCCAATAAAGTCCATGCTCAAGTCAGTCCAAATCTGATTAGGAATGGGCAGAGGTTGTAGCAACCCTGCTGGACTTAGTGTTTGATGCTTATTCCTCTGACAAACTTCACAATCTTGAACATAATTTTGAATGTCCTTTCTCATCCCTTTCCAATAGAATAGATTGGAGATTCTTTTCATAGTTTTGAAGCTTCCAGCATGTCCACCCACTGCTGACTCATGAAATTCTTTTAGTATAGAAATCTTCCTATCAGAATTTCTAGGAATGACCAATCTGTTTTTGTAATAGAGTAGCCCCTTCTGTACTTTGAAATGTGGCACTGTTTCAGGTAGTCCCCAAAATGTTTTGATGATTTCTTTGTACTTTTCATCCTCTAAGAGCTCATTGTCCAAACCCTCCCACCCCTGACAGGTTATAACTGAAAGAGAATAGAATCTCCCTTTTCTGGAAAGAGCATCTCCAACTTTGTTCTCTTTTCCCGGTTTATATTTAATGTCAAAATTGAATCCTAGGAGTTTAGTGACCCACTTCTGCTGATCCTCCCTACTTATATTTAATTGGTGCTGCTACTTTTCCATACCCCTTAACAAACCTTCTGTAATAATATGTGAGTCCCAAGAATCCCCTAAATCCCTTAGCATCCTCAGATCTCTCCCAGTTTAACATGTCATGTACTTTACTGGGATTTGCCTCCACACCTTCTCCAGATATAATATGTCCTAAATAGGCCATCTTTTGTTTCCCAAATTCACACTTCTTCTGATTGACCACTAGTTGATTTTCTTTCAAGGTTTGCATCACTTTCTTGACATGCCCAATGTGCTCCTCCTCTGTCAGGCTGTAGATCAAGATGTCATCAAAAAACACTAACACAAACTTCCTCAAATATCGTCTCAACACTTTATTCATCAAAGCTTGAAATGTAGATGAAGCATTAGTGAGACCAAAAGGCATAACAATATATTCATAGTGGCCTTCATGTGTCCTGATAGCTGTTTTGTGAATATCTTCCTCTTTCACTCTTATTTGATGGTATCCCGACTTCAAATCCAATTTAGAAAAAATATGTGCTCCACCTGTTCATCCAAAATTTCTTCTATCATAGGAATAGGGAATTTGTCGGGAACTGTAATTCTATTTAAGGCTCGATAATCTCCACAAAACCTCCACTCCCATCCTTTTTCTTCACCATTAAGACTGGGCTACTATAGGGACTGGTATTAGGCCTGATAATGTCTGTTTTTATTAATTCCTGCACAATCTTTTCTATCTCATTCTTCTGGTATTGAAGATATATGTAAGGTCTAATGTTTGGAGGATTTTCACCTTCTTTGATCGTAGTAGCATGGTCACATTCTCTTTTTGGAGGTAAACCAGTTGGGGGTTGGAATGCCTCAGCAAATTCTGTGATTACTTCCTTCATCCGGTAACTTTCTTTTTCTTCTTCCACTTTTTTTCAATTACTGTAGTGCTGAACAAACAATACCCTTCTCCATGCTCTTGCATAGTCTTAATGATGGATTTGAAAGAGGCTTGATTTATGCTGCCTGAAGCTTCATTAATTTGCCCTTTTCCTTTCATTTGATAGTTAGCTGAGTGAAATTAAATTCAACATTTCCCAAACCCGCTAACCATTCCAGCCCCAAAACCATCTCAGTTTCCCAAAACCATCATTCAAGACATATAAGTCTTGAATGATGTCAGTTTGTTGTATGTTAAGAGAAACAGCTTCACATCTCCCATTGTTTTTTATTATGTCTTCTTTTCCTATCTCCACCTTGAATTCTGGAATCTAGAGGATAGGTAGGCCTGCTACATGAACTACCTTATGAGATACTATCCTCTGTTCTTTAATAGTTGCAACAGTTTGACTTTTCACGTTTGCCTACACACAACTTTGATTGTAATTATATTTAATTACGTATTAGTAAAAATTATAAAGAGTTAATTTTTTGAAAATTCACATGAATAGAAAATTAATAACATTTTATACATAATTATTTGATTATAAATATTAATAGAAAATCCTGGTTAAAGTAAGGTGTGTGAATAGTGCAAAAATTCTAATGTTGCAACTTTTAAGAAACAGAGGAAGTATAAATTGTGGGTGGCCCCACACTCAATCAAAATGGTGATGGTTCTATCCCCTTTATTACTCCTTAACTTTCCCTTCACTTTAAAAGTCTTAGGAGTTGTGATCCCTTCTTTACTCATGAGAGATAACTGCATATTGGAGGGGTCTGTTTCTTCCATTGGTGAAGCAGGTTCTATAGCATTACTCTCCAATTCATCCTCCTCCTCCTCCTCAGATTCATCTAACATGATGATCTGAAAGTGTTTCATCTTACAGATATGGTCTTTACCCCATTTTTTCCCACACTTAAAGCATAGACCTTTTCTGCTCAACTCCTGTAACTCAGATTGAAATAATTTGTGTGTACCCCTTATTCCAGACTCCTTACTTCCAGTCTCCGTCATTTTCTTTTCCATGATAGGTTTCCCTTGACTGGACAGGTGGTTCAGACTGTTCTTCCACTTGTTTTCATCCATCCATTTGTGATTCTGTACTGAAGTATACCCCTTATCTTTCATTCCTCTTCTATCATCTTCCTTATTTTTGGCAGATCGAGTCTGGTTCCTTTGTTCCACTAGCAAAGCCCTAACCATCAAGTCCGCAAGAGTTCTGACTGGATGTAACTTTAATTCAGCTTTTATTTCAACTTTCAAACCCTTCATAAAGATTCCATTGAGTAAGATTCCCTTGAGTATTTTCAGACCAGTCTGTTTTAAGGGAGCCACAACCACCATCATCTAAAATTGTTCCCTATACTCCATTACACTTCCTGTTTGTGTCACACTTAATAGTGGACCATAAGGATCATTTACCAGTCCTGGTTGAAATCTAGGAGTTAAGGCATTTTTGAATGATTCCCAGTTTCTCACCTCAGTATGCTCTTCCCACCACTGAAACCAGTTAAGAGCCTTTCCTTCCATTGCTAAAATAATCAATTCTACTTAATCATCTTCTTCTATATAATTCATTCTTAAGAAATGCTCAACCTTAACTATCCATCCATAAGCATCATGTCCATTGAAAAGTGGTAAATCCACTTTCCGTCCAGAATTTTCCATCCACTTGTTATAATCATCGTTTTGTGAAGAAGAGTGGTGATTACCTGAAGCAGACGAATAAGAGTCGCTACTGTCATGTTGCTTGCTTCGTTTTGTGATTTTTGATTTTCCCCGCGACCGGCTTCCCTTCTGCTGCAGACTTAACTCGCGCAACTCATCGCGAGTTCGCTGAGCTTCTTCACGCATCTCCTTGTGAATGTGCCTCGTCTCCGTACAATTGTTCTCCATCTCGTGTTCCAAGATCTCCAAACACGCTTCCATCGTACCTCTGGTAGCTACCATGTACAAAAAGATAGGGTCGTGCTTTGATACCAATGTTAGGTTATCGGCCAATTCACAATGAATTCAAGAACAAGATGAAGGAAAGAGCTATGTATCAACGGAAATTTGTCGTATAACAGAAAGTAGAGAGAGAATTATAAGAGGCAGTTATAGAGAGCCACTCTCCAAGTCCCAGTGCCAACTAACTTTTACCAGCCTGTCTTATTTCTATAATAGCTATCTATTTATAGAACTCCCTCTGGTTCCCCAACTACCCTTCCAGTTACTTCTTATTTCTTCTTACATACACTTTATCAAAATAGCTATTATTGTTACTTTGCTGGCTGCTAGTGGCTCTAACACCTAATCTTTGTTGGAAAATTATTAAGTATTTCAAATAAACAAAATTATTTTTAAATGGTTTATATTTAATAAATATTTAACAATTATGTAAGGATAACATTTTAGCATTTCAGCCGGATTTAGTTTGTTGAAATACTTATTAGTGTTGACCGAGTATTGTGGGAGCATGAGTTTGTTGCTTGGCCAGCCACAACTGATCACTACTTCATACGTGGATCCCCAACAACTTTATTTTATCAAATAATTTACATGCACTACAAGAAAAGTGCAAATAGATTGCACACGGACCACATTTTTTTTGTGATGGCAGCATAACTGTCGTTAAAAAACCAATAACCACACATTTTTTTATTTACAACACACAAAAATGTGGTAAAAGCTTAGAGACGGCAGTTTTTAACCGTGACCAATGTTTTAACTACAGTTGTTGTGCCGACGCACGTAAAACTATCGCAAAACTGTCGTAAAAACATAAGGAGGGACATTTACGACAGTTTTGCGTCAGTTTTACGTGCGTCGCCACAACAGCCGTGGTAAAAACATTGGCCACGGTTAAAAACTGTCGTCTCTGACCTTTTACCACAGTTTTGTATGTGGTAAATAAAAAATGTGTGGTTAATAGTGTTTTTAACGACAATTATGCGGTCATTGCAAAAAAAATTGGTCTATGTGAGATCTGTGTGCACTTTTCTTGTAGTGATGCTTCACACCTCTATTTAATTAAACTATACATATAATATTACGTTAAATAAACTGCTGGGTTACATAATCAATACTTCTATCATCGTAGTTCTGTGTCCGGCAATCTCGCCGATGGGCTCGTTATATCTTGGGGGAAGATTTCTGGCCACCAGAAATACTTTCTTTAGGACAGCGTCTAACGCGTCTCGAGCCGTTTTATTTTCTAATATTGTTTTGCAGGTTTCGACGAATATCTTTATATCTCCAACAATCTAAAGAAAGTATCGTCGGAAAAGCTGCCAAGCCGCCAAGGTCATCACCACATATTCGGGAAACTCCGGTCGGTCTCTTTGAAAGTATAGTAGCCGTGAACAAGGAACACTGGGCGTCTGAACCGAAGCCTCGCTGCATGCTTTCATACACGATAGAAATGTTGAATGCTTGCATGCATCGGCTATTGCACAAATTCGTACCATGTCAACCATTTGTCAGTGAACTGTGCTTCCTCTACTATACGTATGTTTTCTGGAGTAATGGTAAGTGTCTTAATCCTTATATTTATTAGAAGGGTATTTTAATCCCATCTTTTACAATAAATGTCATTTTTGTGATAAAAAGACAACTATGGAAAACAGCGTACTTGTTTGATAGTGATAATAATTTGTTGTGCTTGTTTCTCAAAGTTGTAAAATTAATGATGTGAATGAGTGGATGGTAGACTCCGGGGCTACCAAGCACATTTGTAAAAACAAAAGTGTTTTAACCTACTATACTCAGTGGCGGAACCAGAACATTCTTTTAGGGGATGCTGAGATCTGGAGTTGTCCTCGGTCTGAAACCGAACCTGCGGTTCACGGTTCACCAAATGCTCAAACCTGAACTAGAACGTTGAAGGGTCGGTTCAAGGCGGTTCCGAACCGCTGGTTCCGGTTCCAGTTCCGGATGTAATCGCTATTGAATTCAACTAAGATTATTCAACCCTTTTATTTTCTTCATTAGACGTTTTTCATGACTTCCCACTTTCTATTAAGAATTTTTTTAATGTGCTTAAATTAACCATTAGATATATGAAGCTTCACTGATTTAAATGACTTTATAGCTTCGGTTTATATTTGATTACTAAATTTACTATAAAAATATACGAGTATGAAGTTCACGGATAAATGACATTATAAAAATAGAACTATAGCATCAATCCTAAATTCAAATAGGTACACTCACATACGAAATTAGTACTCCGTATAAATTAGTAGCACTGCATCACACTATTCAACCACAAAACACATACTCATATAATTGCCTAAACAATTACTCCGTATATCAGTAAGGCCACTAGCGAGATGAGCATCAGGGAGGCAGCACCGCAAGCCTCAGCAGTACCGATTCCAGTCGGCCAAGACTCTTCCAGAGTCAGCAGTCCAACACAGCATCGGAGGCGGCGGTGGAATTTCAAAGCATCCTGCTAACCGGCCTCCGCTACTTCAATGTTTATTTAGGAAAAGCGAATTTAGACCTAATAACTAATGAGGCAAGGACCACCGAGCAAATAATGGTAAAACCATAAAACAATAGAATTGGATGTCGTTCACTATAGAACTGTTGTTGTTTTATTGTACTATTTTTGTTCTTTTTACCTAAAGAAACGGCGTCGTTTACATTAATGAAATTATAAAACAAAGAAAGCTTATTTCGTTGAGCAGCACAACACGAGAAACAGACGGGTTATACTTTCTTCGGACAGAAATGGAAGAAAGCTGCAGGGGCGCCGGCCGGAAAAATACGTATAGGTACCTTGACTATTCCGGCGAAGGGGTGGCGCCAGCACCGGCTCGCACCCCCCTGGTTCCGCCCCTGCCTATACTACTATAGGAGATGGCGAAAACCTTGTGTACCCAGCGGACTCGAAAACTGCACTAATGTGCATGATAAAAGGAATGTTAATCTTAGACTCACATCGGGGTAAACTTTATCACTAAATGATGTGCTTTGTTAATTATCTTTAGGTTAAAATTAAGAGATATTATCCGAAATAGGACTAAAAGGGTTTGAAAATTCTAAAATAGGACTGCCATGTTTTTATTCCCAAAATAGGACTAATTACTGTCATGTTTTGGCAGTACCAGACTTCAAACATGACAGTATTTTCCAAACTTGTCAGTAATTACTCCTATTTTGGGAATAAAAAACTTGGCAGTCCTATTTTGGAATTTTGAAACTCTTTTAGTCCTATTTTGGGAACTTTCCCTAAAATTAATTTGTTAAAATTTGAGATTCGGACTATAAAAGTTGGGCGACGCACGTAAAACTAAGTACGTAAAATTTGAGATTCGGACTATGATAAAATAAAGTTTCCACTTAGTTTCCACTTAGTTTACGTAATTTGTGAGTCTAAAAATACCCTTAGTTTCCGCTTATTGGAAAAGTTGGGGTTAAAATTATCTTTTGGTTGTTACAAATTTGTTAGGACCAAAAAAGATGTTTTTGTGAGCAAAGGTTATGGTAAGAATGGTTGTTATGTTCTTAGTGTTTCTAAATTTTTTTGCATGATAATTCTCCCGCTTATATGATTGATTCGTATGATATATGGCATGTGTTGGAATGGTTTAATTACTTGTATTAATACGTAATTTGAAAACTCTATGAACCTTGTTTTCCATCACTGTAGTTTCAATTTAGTTATGATTATTTTGATGATTAAAATTGAAAATTATATTGTATTGGAGCTTGCTTCGTGAGCATGGTGTAATGCTAGTGTTTATAAATATACTTGTACTTCGTATTTGACTGTCTTTGTCAAAAGTAATTGGATGGTTTACTTTTAAATAAAGTACCAGTACGATCTTTGCGCATGCATGATTTTGTACGTTGGTTTGTTAGGATAACTTTGTCAAGAGTTTGAGTTATCATATTTTTAAGGGAAATTTTGAGTTTGCACCCCACTTTTTGGGTGGTATTGGACTTTGCACCCCATTTTCAAAACTTTTAGACTTTGCACCCTATCTACAACATTTTGTGAAGAAAAAATCCTGAATGTGGTGCAAAGGCAAAGACATTTCATGGCAAATAGGGTGCAAAGTCTAAGAGTTTTGAAAATAGGGTGCAAAGTGTAATATCACCTAAAAAGCGGGGTGCAAAGTCAAAATATCCCTATTTTTAATCTCTTGAGTACACGTACTTGCTAAGTGGCTTGGAAAACTATTCCGAGATATTGTTGAAATTTCATGTGTGTACACTTAAGGTCTGTAGTGTTTATTTATATTTGACCTTTTCACATGCTTGGGTCCTTCTGATTTGATACAAAGGTTTTAATATTTTTGCAGGGGCGGCCCTAGGGGGTGCAGGAGGGGCGGGCGCCCTAGGGCCAAAAAATATGAAAATTTTTTAGACCCAAATTTAGTTCTTTATAATAGGTGTGAGTAGGCTGAGTTTTCAACTTTAAACTAATAATTTTTCGGGTAAAATGTTTTTAGTGCTTCTGGCTAGATTTTTTGACGAAAATTTATGAGCATGTTATCTATTAGTGGATATAATGTTCACAAAATCTCAGTTTAAAATTCAATCTAGAAGTCAATTAAATAAATTATTCAAAAACATTGCATTTTTTATGCATATTTTGGCGCAATGTATTTCAATAATTTATTTAACAGACTTCTCAATTGAAATTTAAGTGGAAATTTTGTGAATATTAATCTAAACTTGATGAAAAACGTGCTCACAAACGTTCATAAAAAATTACACTTCGAAGAAAATTAATCTGATGTGATTATTTGATTAGTTTAGTCACTAATTTCATTCATAATTGATTGTTTGATTTTTTTAATTGGTGATTATTATCTATTGACTGTCGGTGTTATATTTTTTTGGTTTCTTAGAAAAATTATTTCTATTATTACGGAGTATTAAATTTATAAATTTAATTTATTTCAAGGTGTAATAAAAAATTAGTGATATGAATAGAATAAAGTAAAAGGAGGAGTAAATTAGAAAAAACGACACTAAGTAATTAAAAAGATTCGATGAAAAATCTTTTTTATTTAAAGAAGTCAAATTGTGAATGTCCTAAAGATGACAACTCAGAGAAGAGAATGATTTAGCTACCGAAAAATGATTCGGAATGATCACATCATTGAAGGGGAATGCATGAATTGAAAATAAT